TTTGACTATACCAGGCTCATACAAATGTTTCCAAGTCTGAGACCAAGGAACAACTCAGTGATCAGGATCTTCAAGAAGCTGAGGCTGTGACTGAAGGATAGAAAGTGACCCAAAGAATCCCCCCATTAATTATAATATTAAGACAGTTATTGAGTATGAGGAATGGAAAGTAGAATGCAAGTTTTGGAAGTGTAGAATTGCAGTGGCAAAAGGGAAGGCATCATTGTGGAGCATTTTCAAGAGTTTTTTTTCTCCTGTCTTGTGGCTATACACCATTTACTTGGAATACGCATTCAGAACAGGAGGGCTGCCCTGAACCAAATTTTCACTGCTGTTCAAGCGTGAAAAACTTTCAAAGAAGGTTCAGTTTGTAGTGCGAGATCATAGAGCACCACAATCCAAAAAATTCACCAATGAGTCTGTCACTGGATCAGTATTCAAACTCTTTATAGTTTGATGGAATTTGCCAGCTCTTTTACTTTGCATATCCTTTGAAAACCCAAGATCACTTCTGTGGCATGATTGGACATTAGAGGACTTTTGCTGAGTTGTGTACCAATTTGAAAATGTGTAGCTAAATGTTTTAATGAGTAAGATGAAAGGAGAGGATGGATTTTAAGATTACTTATCTCACAGCTTTATTCGAACTTTTCTTCTATAACACATATACTACTCTTGTGTTTTTCAAATTATTTAGGGTAATAAGGTGAAGCATGTAGCTGTAGGGGAGGTATGGAGGTAACCACTGCCTATGATCTTTCCTAATAATTTCTGTTTATGGCCCTCTAAACATATAGGAATAATTGATTTGGCCTTGAGTAAGTTCTTTAATCTCTCTAGTGTATGGTTTCCTCATGTATAAATAACTACAAAGTTGAACTAGATGATCTCCAAGATCGCTTCTAGTTCTGACATTTATTCTCCTTTCTAGTGTTGATGTTCTGCCTTTTCAGCTCCTTTCTAATTTAAATATTCTGACTTCTCCATTCTAAGGCCTCTTCTGACATTGAAATTTTATGTTCTTAGTTCCCAACTATCTCTAAAATTCCATGATTCTATACTACCTGCTTAAGCATTATGATAGTTTATGAGGTTCTAGTGAAGAGGAAAATATATTGTTCACAAGTATTTAGTGAAAGACATGGGGGGGGGCAGCTAGATGGCGCAGTGGATAGAGCACAGGCCCTGAAGTCAGGAGGACCTGAGTTCAAATCCAGCCTCAGACCAAACATTTGACACGTACTAGCTGTGTGACCTTGGGCAAGTCACTTAACCCTGATTGCCTCACCAAAAAAAAAAAAAAAAGACATCAGGGGCAATTGAAGGAAATTAGACTTGGCCAAGTAAAGGTAATGACCATACTGCAAGACCTTAGAGGATAACTTTATGCGAAAAGAAATTAAAAGACCACATAGATGTAACAGTGGCTGGCTTCTTTCTCCTCTTTGTAATTGAGAAATAGAAACATGGTGAATATTTTCCTTTCTACTTCTTTCCATACGCTACAGGTAGCCAAATGAGTGGCTTTGTTCTATTGAAGTTTAATACAAATGTCTCTTTGTGCAATCCTAAGTCCCGAGGAACTTGTGGAGGAAACATGGTGAGAAGATCACTCTGCCACATAGTTAAAAGGAAATCTTTTTAGACCAAATATAGGGGCTTCACTCTATTTTCTTGTCTTTGCTGGCAATAGAGTTACATATCAAAAGTCCTGGAGAATTGGACCAGTTTTATAACTGATACCAGGAGGTATTTGTCAGGTTTTGCTTCAAAATAAATGTGGCAGCTATTGGGGAAAATGTATTATGATCAGTTAAATCTGTGACTACTTAGTTTATGTCCATTAAGTTAATTTAAAGTTGGTCAATAACTTATAAGTGAAAGGAAGAACACCTTCTAATTTGTTTAGGATATATGAGTATTCCTGATATTATCCTTTTACATTCTGTGTGCTGCCTGAAGGTTACAACCCTTTAGGAATCCAGCTGGTGCCATGCTTTTGTTGTCTTTATACTTTATATCATTTATTTCATTGAGTTCTATTTGGGGTTTTAAATAAAAAGAGTTCAGTGGCCTGTTTTTGAGAAGAGACATAGCTAGTTTAATTAACTGGGTGAGATAATTAAATGGTACAAAACATTACATAAACGTTAACTACTCATATCTATTTTGTACTCAAGTCAATAGACTCTGGAGCACTGTACATTTTAGATATAGGGAGCCTTTAAATCATACATGCCCAATTTAGGAATGTAATTTCAGGCAAGCAGTCACCATTGACTGTAGCTGCCAATACTATTCCCTCCATTTTACTTGTACAGGATCCCTGCCCCCTTCCCTGCTCCTCTCTCTGAAGCCCAAAGAGACCATTCCCATTACTTTGGCCTAATGGAAAAATAAATGAAATTTGAGCTCTGCCTCAGTTCAATCCAATTCAGCAAGCATTTATTAAGTACTTAAATTGTATAAAGAACTTCATGTTATGCACTAGAGATACAAAAACAAAAAGAAAAAAAAAGGTACCAGTCCTTCAGGAACTTACATTCTACTGGAGAAAACTAATATGCATGTAAGTGAAATACAAGCTAGTTTGGGGAGAGAGAGCATTTACCACTAGGGGGATAAGGAAAGACTTCAAATAGAAGGTAGCTTCTGAGCTGAGCCTTGAGGGAAACAAGTGTTTCTCAAAGGTGGAAGGGAGGAGGGAGTGCATTTCAGACCAAGTGCAAGGACTTGGAGGTAAGCATTGGAATTTCAAATTTGAGTGACAAGAAATAAGGCAGTTTATCTGGAACGTAGAATTTGTGAGGGAGAATAATATGAAATCAATCTTGAAAGATAGGCTAGATCCAAATTATAAAGGCATTTAAGTGCCAAATAGACAAATTTGTATTTTATCCTAGAAGTAGGGGGTTGCTGAAGCTTCTTGAGTAGAAGAGTGAGACAGGCAACTTCTGCTTTAGGAATATCAGTGTAACAGCTGTGTGGAAGATGGAGTAGAGAGGAGAAAAAACTAGAAGCAGGGCTATCAGGAGACTATTACAGTAGTTGAAGCCAGAACTGATAAGAAGCTAAAATACAGTTGTAGTTATGTTAGTGGAGAAAAGGGAATTATTTTGATACATGTTGTAGAGATAGAATTATTCCAAAATGCAGCTGATTGGAAGTGAATTATAGTAAAAACTAGAAAATTACTCCTGGGTTGTTAGTCTGAGTGACTGGAAGAATGGTGAATACTCTTGACAGAAATGGGGAAGTTTGCAGTAGGTAAGATAGTGAGTTCCATTTTGTTTATGTTGGATTTAAAATGTCTTTGGAACATCCAGGTGGATATGTTCTAGTATGCAGTTGGTGATGATGAATATACAGATCTGAGTTATTTGTATTGAGGTGATTAATTAAACCAAAGGGAGTTAATTAGATATTTCTTTTTTTGTTTTGTTTTTTTAGGCAATTGGGGTTAAGTGACTTGCCCAGGGTCACACAGCTAGTGTGTCAAGTGTTTGATCTGAGGCTGGATTTGAACTCAGGTCCTCCTTACTTCAGGGCCAGTGCTTTATCCACTGTGCCACCTGGCTGCCCCTAATTAGATATTTCTAAAAAAGAGTCTATAGAAAACAAAGTTTTGGGGTTTTTTGGGTTTTTTTAGGGTTTTTTTTGGTTAGGCAGTGGGGTTAAGTGACTTGCCTAGGTTCACACAGCTAGTAAGTGTTATGTGTCTGAAGCTGCATTTGAACTCGGGTCCTCCTGAATCCAGGGCCGGTGCTCTATCCCCTGTGCCACCTAGCTGCCCCAGAAAACAAAGTTTTGAAGGTTCAAAACAAAGTCTGGAAAACACCTGTGATTGAGGGGCTGAAAATGAATGATGATCCAGTGACAGTAGAAATGAAAAGAGTGTTACAACTAGGTAAATAGAGAGCTAGGAGAAAACAGCATCATGGAAGTCAGTGGAGGAGAGTATCTGAGACAAGGTCAACAGTGCCAGAATCTGCCTGAGAGGTTAGAAAGAATGAGAACTTATATGGCCTTAAATAAGAAAGCATTGATAACTTTGGATAGAACCATTTCATTCAAGTGTGGAAGGGGGTAGTATTTATAAGAGATTAAGAATTGAGTAGAAGGTAAGGAAATGAAGGTAATGAATGTAGACCTTTTTTATGAGTTTAGCTATAAAAAGAAGAGGAGAGCTCCTGGAAAATGACAGAATCAAGTGAAGGTTTTTTAAGGATATGGGAGACTTGGACATGTTTATGGAGGCGGCAAAGAATGACCCAACAAATAGAGACTGAAAATGAGGAAGAGAAGGGAAGAGGGAAGGGGCAAGATCCTGAAGGAGATACAACTGAACAGGAGCAAGAGTACAATTGGGATGGCCTTTGCAAGAGGGGACACAATTCATCAGAGACAAGTACATAAGAAGATAGAATGGGAGATGTTATAAATGAGTTTTAGCCACCCACTAACCCTTATCTCCCTCCTACTTCCCCCATATTGGGGGCGGTGGGATAGGGAAGAAGATAAGCATTGTGTGCCGATATAATAGGTGTGTAAGAGGACTCCAGTGTGCTCTTTTAAAGTCAGATGGGGGAGCTATCACTACTGGATGGTTGGGAGGAATTAGTGGAGGTTTCTTGGAAGCAGTGGTCTTTGCGGTAGACTTAGGATATCATTAGCCTAGGTGAAGACCAGATTAATTTTGGGAGTGAACAAAGATCTAGAGGCAGAAAAGTACAGGATGTGTCTTAAGAACAAGGAGCAATACAGCTGACTGCAGTGTATAGTACAGGAGGAAGGGACTGTGTGAACTAAGAGTAGGAAGGTAGGGCCAGATTGTGAAGAGCTTTCAAAGCCAGGCTAGTCAGGCTTACCAGAGAGTAGAAACTCTGTCCCCAGAAATGAATCTTCTTTTCAGGAGGTAGCAAATACATGACCTTCCCACAATACTTCACCTCAAACGCCTTGTAAACTTGTGCTATGTCAATGTCTAATTCCCTTTTTCTTTTTTCTTACAGTGGTTGATATCACAACAAGTATCCTTTTCATGTTGTTAATTTCTCTTATAGCATTGCTCTGTTAGATAACATATATCATAAACTTTGGCTGAATGGCTGTTAATCATCCCCAACTCAGTATAACATTGGGACTGCATGTCATTACAATTGAAAGTGATTACCTTAGTGTATAGGTCTTTGCAATATAATTTTTTTGTAGTTTTCATATTTCCTTAACTAGATATCTTAGATTCCACAGTTTGAAGATGTCAAATTTGAAGCAGCAAGTCTTCTATCTGAGTTGTATTGCCAAGAGGTGAGAATGTGTTGTTGTCTATCAAAAGCTGAGTCATTCTTTTAAAACTATAACAAAGGAAAGTCAGAGTTATTTTTAAATTTAGAATTTCTCTAGTTTTTAAAATACCTTATGAATTTCTTACTTCAGGTACCCTATTTTTAGGTTATATATGTGTAAACATTTTTTAGAATATTAACAAGATCCCTTTATAGCAACATATAAGTAAACAGAGAAAATAAATACCAAATAAGTTATGTGATTAGTATTTTTGGTCTGAAGACTAATTCTTTTTGCATGGAAACTTTTAAAATTCATGTGTTTAAAATTCATATATTTCATCCACTCTATAGCAAAATCATAATATAAACTTTTAGGCTACAGTTCCCTCTTAACAGTAACTCACTATAATTCCTTTTGATCCTCATAGTTGGATATGTACATATATCTCTATATGCAGGGTTTTTAAAAAAAACTCAATTGTCCTGCTTCTGCTTTTTTTCACTGTCCATAATTTTATATGGATCTTTACCTATTTTTGCATAATTCTTCATATTCCATTCTTCGTGACTTGAACAATACAGTATAGCACTCCATTGTTTTGATGTACCTGTTGTGTTCTGTTTAACTGTTTCCCAAACACTGACCATCTAGGTTGCTTCCAGCTTTTCATTACCACTATGTATAGAGCAGTTACAACCATCTTTGTTTAAATAAATTATTTCCTTGGAATATATTCATAGTAGTAGTAGTAGTATTAAAGTTAAATGGAATAATTAATTGTCTGGTTATTTCATATGACTAGACTGTGTTACAGGAAGATTGTACAAGTTTATTTTGTTATCAGCAATATATGAGTGTACCTCTTTCCTCATAGCCCCAACTAACTTTTGATTTTATCATTTTTCTTTACATCTTTTAAATTGATGGGCTTCAGAACTTTTATTTGAACACTCTCTTTTTAAATATAATGTTATTTAAGAGAGCCTGGATTGATAGTGGGCTGAGAATTTCACCTAAGAAGGTACTCCTATTTGGTGCAGAATAGGTAAGACTGAGGTCTGCATCTAATTTGATTGTATGAAGTTCTGTACTTGATTGTTTCAGACTTGTCCAATGATAAAATTGTTGTATGGAAAATGCACAGTGTCTCTGGTACAAAGCTTAACAAAGAATAATTGGTTTTTACATGGCAAATTGCCCCCCACATAATCCAAAACCTTTGATAAGCATGACTAGTAATGGCCATCAGAAATTGAAGCTGGTGTGTAAATAATCTTATTTGAATATTGATTTTTTTTTTCCAAATTAAAAATGTCCTTTCAGAATTCAGTTGATGCTGCAAAACCACTCTTGCGTAAAGCAATTCAGATTTCACAGCAAACACCCTACTGGCACTGTAGACTACTCTTTCAGCTTGCAGTGAGTATCATCTCTCTATATATAAGATGAGAAGCATAATTATGTTACATTTTCTTTTTGTATAGCTTTATAAGTATAAGTGACTGACCAAATGTCTTTGAACTTATTTATCTGTAAAATAGGGAAAATACTTGTCCTGCCTAGCTAGAATAATTCTGAGAAAAGTGCTTTGAAAGCATTAAAGTAATATATATTTCAACATGGCAAGGATCCAGTTTTGTGAGTTTGAGTACTCCCTCCATTGACACAAATCAGAATCCCTCTCCAACTTAATACATAGTCTTCAGAAGTTGCTATAGCAGAAAATTCATCATTCTCTGGCTAACCTGAGGAAGAGCTTCTTCACATTTGACTAGGCAGGTCATCAGATGACAGGCTTTCAGACTAGCATCAAGCCTGAACTAGAAGCCTTTCAAGTTTGCTGGCATCTCTCAGAGCTTGTGCTTAGCTAGTATAGCTTTTAGGAACTCAAGGTTGTTTCTATGCCATGATGAGACATCATCAGAATGTTGACTAGTGGAAGAAAGTGACCTATAAATGTGAAGTGATTATTATCAGAAATAGTTTAGGGACCAGCTAAGTAGAAGATTTGGTTCCAGCTTTGCTTCTCAAACTATTACAAAGAGAGCATGTAGGGAATGGGAAAATTTGGAACATTTAAAAGAGTTTTAATTCATCTTTCATTAAACAGGCATTTGTTAAACTCCTTCTATTTGCCTGGCACTGTGCTAGGTCCTGGGAGATACAAAGACAAAAATTAAAACATGTCCCCTCCCTTCAATCTGTTGAGCTTACAGGGAAAGGTACACTGAAATTTAATACACAGTAGGTGCAAGGTGATTTTGAGGTGGGGTAGGGTTATTAGCAACTTGGAGAATAAGGATAAACCTTCTATAAGAAGTGGCACCTGAGCTGAGCAGAGGTGAGACAGAAGTATATTGTAGATATGGGGGATAGTCTATACATGGAAGGTCGTGTATGGGGAATCCCAAGTGAGCCTATTTGTCTGGAGTGTTGATAGTGAGTGAAAGAAAGTAATGTACAGTAATCTTGAAAAGATAGGCTGGAACCAGATGGTAAAGGACTTTGAAAGCGAAATAGAGAAATTTGTATTTTATGCTAGAAAAAATAGGAAACCTTTGCACTTCTTGAGCAGAGAACTGAGTTGGTCAGAACCGTGTTTTGTGAATGTAAATTTGGTAGGTGTGTTGAAGATGTTTTGGAGAAAGAAGTGCCTGGAGACCAGGCTATTGTAATAATTCATGTAAGGTGATAAGGCCCTGAATTAGGGTTGGGGATAAGTGAACAGAAGATAAGGGACACATGAGAGATGTAGTGTGGAAATAAAATTGATGTGACTTGGCAATTGATTGTGTACGAGGGATGAGGGAAAGAGAATAGTCCAAGTTAACTCTCAAGATTGTAAGCCTGGGTGACTAGAAGCATGATGATGCCCTCAACAGAAATAGGAAAGATAGGAAGAAGGGAGAGTTTTTTGGGGAAAGATAATGATTTATGATTTGAACATGTTTAATTTGAGATACCTGTGAGACATCCCATTAGAGGTGTTAAATGGGTAATTGGTAGTGTAGGCCTGTAGTTTAGGATAAAGGTTGGAGCTGGAATACATACATCTGGGAATTATTTGCATAAAAATAGTAGTTGTTCTAATAGGAGCTCATGAGATTACCAAGAGACAAGGAAAAAAGTTCAAGGACAGAACTTTGGTGTACACTCACACATAGAGTATAGGTTGGATATGGTTAATGATCTAGCAGAGGAAACCAAGAAAGAAGGATCAGACAAGCTGGAGGACAGGTATGAGAGAGCAGTGTTACAAAAACCCAGAAAGGAGGAAATGGTCAGTAGTATCAGATGCTGTAGAAAAGTCAAGTACAGGGGGCGGAGCCAAGATGGCAGAGGGAAAGCAGTGACACTGGAGCTCTCTCCCAAAGCCCTCCAAATACCTATAAAAAATAGCTCTAAACAAATTCTAATGCAGCAGAACCCACAAAAAGACAGAGTGAAACAAATTTCCAGCCAAAGACAGCCTGGATGGTTTATCGGAAAGGTATATCGCGCCAGGCAGGGAGAGGAGCGCAGTTCGGTGTGGGCGCGCAGGCCACAGCGACCCTGGAGCAGACCTCAGAGGACTGAATCGTGGGCAGCTGTGGCGGTTTCCAGACTTCTCAGCCCCTGAACGCCAAAGGCAACTCAGAAGGTCAGTGGGAAAAGTCTGTGACTGCCGTGAGAGAGGAACTAGGTCTCAGCCTCAAGTCTTGAGCGCAGCCTGGGGCCGTGGCTTTTTCCTAAGCTTTTGGCCCACAGACTGAAGGGGAATCCAGTGACTGATCAGAGGGGGATTGCAGGATTCTCTTTGCCAGTGCTGAGGCAGGAATCTGTTGCTTTGCCCATGCTTGGATCTGGGTCACAGTTCTGAGGAGCGGTCCTGGGGCTAGAAGTAACGCTGGTGCAGTGGAGCTTGTTGTGGTGGTGGAGAGAAAACACCTCACCCCTTATCACAGCACCTTGGAAGAACTGAAAATTTATAGGTCCCTAGAAGTGTCTCTGAAAACAGCTGTACAAACTCCCGAAGCTTGGGACAGTAAATTTTCCACATTGGAAGCAGACTTACCTTAACAAAGAGTTTAAAACTCAAGTAATTGGCCGGGATCATGAGTAAGCAGCGCAAAAAAAGTCAGAATATATTATCTTACTTTGGGGACAAAGAAGATCAGAACATACAACCAGAAGAAAATGAAGCCAAAGCTCCTACATCCAAAGCCTCCAAGAAAAATATGAATCAGTCCCAGGCCTTGGAAGAGCTCAAAAGGGATTTTGAGAAGCAAGTAAGAAAAGTAAAGGAAAAACTGAGAGTGATGCAAGAAAATCATGAAAAACAAGTCAACAGCTTACTAAAGGAGACCCAAAAAAATACTGAAGAAAATAACACCTTAAAAAAAATAGCCTAACCCAAATGGCAAAAGAGGTCCAAAAAGCCAATGAGGAGAGGAATGCCCTAAAAAGCAAAATTGGCCAAATGGAAAAGGAAGTCCAAAAGATTACTGAAGAAAATGCTTCCTTAAAAATTAGAATAGAGCAATTGGAAGCTAGTGACTTTATGAGAAATCAAGACACTGTAAAACAAATCCAAAAGAATGAAAAATTAGAAAACAATGTGAAATATCTCATTGGAAAAACAACTGACCTGGAAAATAGATCCCGGAGAGAGAATTTAAAAATTATTGGACTATCTGAAAGCCATGATCAAAAAAAGAGCCTAGACATCATCTTTCAAGAAATTATCCAGGAAAACTGTCCTGATATCTTAGAACCAGAGGGCAAAATAGAAATTGAAAGAATCCACCGATCTCCTCCTGAAAGAGACCCCCAAAGGAAAACTCCTAGGAATATTGTAGCCAAATTTCAGAGTTCCCAGGTCAAGGAGAAAATAATACAAGCAGCCAGAAAGAAACAATTCAAGTATTGTGGAAACACAATCAGGATAACACAAGATTTAGCAGCTTCTACATTAAGGGACCGCAGGGCATGGAATATAATATTCCAGAGGGCAAAGGAGATAGGATTACAACCAAGAATCACCTACCCAGCAAAACTGAGTATAATCCTGCAGGGGAAAAAGTGGTCATTCAGTGAAATAGAGGACTTTCAAGCATTCATGATGAAAAGACCAGAGCTGAATAGAAAATTTGATTTTCAAATACAAGACTCAAGTGGAACATGAAGAGGTAAACAGGAAAGAGAAAATCATGAGACTTATTAAGGTTGAACTGTTTACGTTCCTGCATGGAAAGATGATATTTGTAACTCATGAGACCTTTGTCAGTATTAGGGTAGCTGGAGGGGAAAAAATTATATGTACGTATATATAGAGATAGATAGATAGATGGCACGGGGTGAGTTGAAAATGAAGGGGTCATATCTGGAGAATAAAATTAAGGGGTGAGAGAGGATTATACTAGGAGAAGGAGAAAGGTAGAGGTAGAATGGGGTTAATTATCTCACAAAAAAAAAAAACAAAAGAAAAGGCTCTTACAGTGGAGGGGAAATGGGGGAAGGGGAGAGGAAATGAGTCAATCTTATTCTCATCAGATTTTGCTTAAGGAGGGAATAACATACACAGTCAATTGGGTATGGAAATCTGTCTTACCCTACAGGAAAATGGGGGGGAAGGGGACAACAGAGTAGGGGGATGATAGAGAGGAGGGCAGATTGGGGAAGGGGGTAATCAGAAGCAAATACTTCTGAGGAGGGAGAGGGTCAAAAGAAAGAATAGAATAAGTGGGGGGGCGGGATAGGATTAAGGGAAATAGAGTTAGTTTTTCACAGCATGTCTACTATGGAAGTGTTTTGCATAACTGCACATATATAACCTATATTTAGTTGCTTGCCTTATCAATGAGGGTGGGTGGGGAGGGAGGAAGGGAGAAAATTTGGAACCCAAAGGTTTAAAAACACATGTTTAAAAAAAATGTTTTCACATGCAACTGGGAAAAAAGAAATACAGGAAATGGGGTTGAGGGGAGAGATAGAATGGAAGGCAGACTAGGAGAAGGGATATTCAGAATGCATGCCATCTTGGGGTGGGGGGAGGAGCGAGATGGGGTAAAAATTTGGAACTCAAAATCTTGTGGAAGTAAATGTTGAAAACAAAAAAAAAATAAAGAAAAATTACTATAAAAAAAGCCATTGGATTTGGCAATTGAGAGATCATTGGCAACTTGATAGAGACTGTTTCTATTGAATGGTAAGGTTGGAAGGCAGATTGTAAGGGGATGAAAAATGAGTGGAAGGTAAGAAAGTGAAACCATAGTACAGGTAGTTTTTTTCTAGGAGTTGGAGTGAAAGGGAGGAGAGAGACATAGGGTAATAGTTTGATCGGATAGTGGGATCAAGTGAAGGGAGTTTAAGGATCTGTAGGGCAGTAGCTCTTTATCCCAGTTTTTTATCCCTGAATGCCCCTAACAGTAGGTCTCTCTTCTCAGCTTCCCGCTAGTTAAGCCTCAGTCTAGAGACTTTCTAGAGCCATAATGTAATTGATGGAGGTAGTGTCTTTGAAATGAAAATTCTTTTGGAAGGACTTTATAGACTTCCTTCTCTTTGATGGTTGACTCAATATCTGTCTCCTTTGTTTCTTTTATTGCCTACATAAATTTAAAACAAAAGAGTCAACTTACCTTCTTAAAGAATGTGTAATTTATTTCCAGAAGATTTGCTGGGTTCTTAAGAATTGAGCTTAAAAATCTAAGCCTTTCTCATTTGGCCCATTAATGCAGACATGCTCATTTTCCAAAAGACCACATGCCTGACCATTGTTGAAGCCAAACTAGGCATATTGCAATATTATGGCCTCTCAGTTTTGATGCTGCATGCTAATTTCTGCTAGCAGGAGAATATTACTATATAGTTTTGTATAAACTACAGTATTAGCATGTAGAGTTTAGGATTCCTTCCCACTTAAGTTTATTCCTCCATACGTCACAGAACCTTAGAATTAGAAAGGCCTTCAGGAGTTATCTAGTCTACTCCCCTTGTAGTGTAGTGAACAGGGTGCTGATTTTGGAGTCAGAAGACCTGGGTTGAAATCCCTGCTGCCACTTAACATCTATGTGACTTTGGACAAGTTACCTAACCTCTCTTGAGTCTCAGTTACCGCATCTGTAAAATAAAGGGTTTGGAGTAGGTGATTTCTAAAGTCTCTTCAAGCTCTAAATCCCATGATCTCAGAAGCATGAAGATTAATAGCATGCTTAGTGAGTGGCCATCCAGGTTCTACTTGAATATCTCAGGTAAAATCTTTCTTATATTGAGTCAGTACCTGATTCCTTGAGGCTTCAACCTATTGTCTTCATCCTTGCCTTCTGCAGGACAATTCTGATCCTTCTTTGCTATGACAGCCCTTCAAGTATTTGAAGACAACAATCATAAGTTTTCTTTTCCCTAGGCTAAAGAGCCATACTTCTTTCAACTGATATTTGTATGACATAATAAATGTTTATAATATAACTTAAGATGTGAGCATCTGCACAAAACTTAAAACCTAGGCTTAACACCAGGGTAGAGTGGAAATACAGTGTTATCAGACTTCCAGGAGGAGTTAAGGCATTTCCAGTCTTTTGATTTTTCTTCCTACCTCTACCATAATTTGGGTAATACTTTTTTCATGCCTAGCAGTATCTTACCACAGAGTGATCTTCTCCCTGTCCTTTTTCTAGGGGTCCTTGATATCTGTTATGTTTAATTACAGTTTGTTACATATACTACTCATCAGATGCAGATTTATTCCTGGCTTCTAATTGCCCTAAGGGGTTTTATGGACATTGGTGTTAACTGTTTAGCACACATTTGATGCATCATTAAACTTAAATAATATACATGTAGTTGAAATAGACTTCTGTACCAAAAGCATTTGAAGAATATGAAGATTGCTCATCTAATTAAGTTCAAAGCTGACACAGATAACTATTGAAATATGGTAGGGCAAGCTTTAACTGGTTAGCAAACAAAAATGTACAGTAGTATAAAAAGTGATGTGTTATTTGAAATGAAAGGTTTGAGTGTCTCTCCTCTTCTTTTTTAGCAACTCCACACACTTGAAAAAGATTTGGTATCTGCATGTGACTTACTTGGAGTTGGAGCAGAATATGCCAGGGTAGTAGGATCAGAATATACCAGGTATGTGTACATTTTTCCTTTCCTTCCCTGATCTGCACACCTTCTTCCCTTTTTTGATTTCTTCCCTGCTTCTCCCAGCCATTCTAAATTTATTTGGAATAATTCAGCAATAGACAAGCTAGTCTAAAATTAATATAGCAACCAGGTTTCTATTAAAAATTATTTGCAAATTTTCTGAATTACAGTTCTAACATTTTTCTGTTTATTCTGACCTAAAACTGTTGATAAGATGTACCATTTAACGTTGTAAAAAAAAAAAAAAGTACATAATCTAAATTGGAATTCACATCTTTACCTTCAGAGGGTACACAGCAATTCTCAATATTAATTATCCTGTATTTGACATAAAATGATGCCCAGGATAGTTTGAAGAAAATTACTTTGATTTAAACATATTCTAAAATTGTGAATTACAAATGACAGGGTTAATGAAAAGTAGTATGGTATATATTAACAAACATGGGACATGGTGTCCAGAGAGCTAGATGTGAATCTTTGCTTTGCAATTTGACCTTAAGCAAATAACATAAGTTCCCTGATCCTTATTTTCTTCTTTTATAACATGGAAATAATAATACTTAAACTGCTGTCCTCCCAAGATTGTTGTGTGAAACATAATGCATATAAAATGCTGTATAGATATAAAGAACTACATAAAAATAGGCTTATATCACTATGACTCATCAGACTCTGACAGTTGCTGTCAGTTCTGGGCCATGTTGTCTTCCCAATACCCACCCTAACACCAGCATTTAGCCTTGAAAGTGTCTGTTTTCCTTATTTAAAATTTAAATTCTTCTCTCCTATAAAAATCTCCATTTGTTGCCATTAGTGGATTTGTTATGGCCCAAATTCATTTATAAACAAATCTGGCAATGCTTTTTCTGGTCATTCTTTTGTTTTAAATGGAATCCCATAAAACTGCAATTGATTGCCTTTATAATAATAGTAGTTCACATTTTGATAGCTCTTTAAGGTTTACAAAATGCTTGCTTACTTCACAATAGGGGCAGCTAGGTGGTGCTGTGGATAGAGTGCTGGCCCTGGAGTCAGGAGGATCTGAGTTCAAATTCAGCCTCACACACTTACTGGCTGTGTGACTCTGGGCAAGTCACTTAACCCTGTTTGCCTCATATTCTTCATCTGTAAAATAAACTGGAGAAGGAAATGGCAAACCACTCCAGTATCTTTGCCAAGAAAACCCCAATTGGGATCATGAAGAGTCAGACACAACTGAAATGGCTAAACAACAGCAACACTTCACAATAATCCTGTGAAGTAGGTAGGTCGGTGTCATTGCCTCCATTTTACAGATGAGGAAACTTAAGACTCAGAGAGCAATCACCTGCTAGTGTAGTTTAACCATGAGGACTATGGCAGTATGCAGTGAACCTTCATAGAATACTGACTGTAATAACTGACTTTTAAAATCTATTAATGTACAACCTGAGTATTTAATTATCATGTTTTAGCAACTCAGGCCTTTGCTTGCTCTTATTCTGGCTTCTTGTTTTCAGGGCACTGTTCTTGCTGAGTAAGGGGATGGTAAGTAAAGTTTGTTTTTTAATTCTTCAGTGTGAGGATTGCACAGGAATGGAATGAACTAGGCATCTTAGTAAATAAAACTTCAAACAAAAATATCAAGATTATTAAAACTTGTCATTAAGCCTTAGTTTTTTTATGCCTAAAATATTTGCCTCCAACAGTGTATCTTCTGAAAACTAAACAGACTTAAGGAAAATAGAAATGTCTGGCTATCCAAAATCTTAGTGCACTTTGATCTCACGTGTACTTTAGGTAGTTGGTAGCTGTGGACCTTTATTGTTACTGCTGTTTTTGAAAAGTTTAACTCACTTCAGCCCAAGTAAATAAACAATTTAAGGCTCTAATGGTTCATTCAGCAAACATCTATGAAACTCCTGTGATAGGTAAGGCACTGTCCTAGGAATACCAAGTTATGTGACACATAACTTGCTATTTAAAAACTTGTTGTCTACTAGTGGGAAAAAAAACATGCATGCAAATAACTAAATACAAAGGAGAATATGGTGATCTAATTCAAGAAACATTAAGTATCATGTGCAAGGCATTAGATGTGCAACAATGAAAAATGACATAATCCACACCCACAAAAAGCTTATAGTCCTTCAGGAGAGAAATGAAATGTACACAGATAAGGGTCTTACAAGGTAAAGTATGGTAGGTCCAAAAGAGAGAGTCAAAATGCTCGAAGAAAGTTTGAGGAGGAATGGTTCACTTAGACTTGGGAAGTTCAGGAAGCACTTCGTGAAGAAGAGTACACCGGAAGGGAGCCTTGAAAGAAGGGCGGGATTTCAACATAAGAAGTGACGGTCAGAAGAGGAGTCTGTTCAAGGCACGGAGATTGCACAGTCAAAGGTGTAGAAAGACAACAGAGTTTAACAATGATGGGAAATGGAGAGGATCCAGTTTGACAATAACCTAGAAATTTATACTTTATTTGGTTGCAGCGGGGGAAAGAAAATTCAGTTATATTGACATCAGTTGAAACTGTATTTGTGCTGAAAGTAAAGGGAGCAAATACATTCTTGGTTTGCCTTATTAATGATAATTTCATCCTTCAAAAGATGAACCAATGAGGGGTACTGATATTCTGAGGGCAGTTCTTATCAATGAGAAACTGGTTGCTAAAGTAAAAAATGATAGGGACCTCAGGGAGAAATCACCATTCCCATCTTGGAATTTGTGATAGAAAGAGGAAAGTTGGGAGTAGTGTGTACTGTAGATTTTTGAAAAGCAGATTTCAGAGGGTTCAGAAGAAGGATAGATAGGAGTCCATGGACTAGAATTCTATAGGAAAAGTCAGTCCAGGAAAATGGGAAGCTCTCAAGTAAAGAGGAGATGTTGACTAAAGAGACCAGTGTCATGAGTGGACACTCATGGACCAACTTATATTTTTAAAAAGATATACCCACCGACCCTGGAGTTAGGAGGACCTGAGTTCAAATCTGACCTCAGACACTTGACACTAGCTGTGTGATCCTGGGCATGTCACTTACCCCCAGCTGCCTCACCAAAAACAAAAACAAAAAAAAAAAGATGTACCAGTGATAGAAGCAAGGATGGATAATGGAAGAGGAATACAAAAGCATGGCATAGGCCTATAAGAATAGCATCAGATGTATTAAAGCTCAAATTGAGTGGAGGCTGGCAAGGCTAAGACTAAAACCAAAGGATTTTATTTTTTTCTTTGCTTCTTTGATGAATTTATATTTTCATCAATGTGGATGCTCCTTCCACTAATTCAAAAAACAATCTTTCCTTACCTTCTATGCAGTTCTTGTCCATGTCCTCCCTTATGTGCAACTCAGATGAATGATTCAGTGTACTGTAGGCCTTCAAAGATCATAGGTCTAAAACTGGAAGAGCTGTCAAAGGCCTGGAGAGGTTTAAGTAACATGCTCCAGGTCATAGAGGTATAAATAAGATCAAGGGTTGAATTTAATCCATGGAACATTCAGGCAGTCCATCAGTCCCTTACTTTTTTTGCCTTTGGTTTTCACATCATAGTCATTTTCAGATGTATGTCCCCCTCACGCATCTCTTCTAACAGATGAAGAAAGAAAGAAAAAGAATAGTTTAGCAAAGTCAACTAACACATCAACCCTGTCAGTACATGTGGTAACTAGCTCCATAATCCCTTCCCTCCCCCCACCTCTGCAGTGAAGGGAAGGAGATTTACATCTTCTCAACTCTTCCTTCTTCAGGGCCAAGCTTGGTCTTTATAATTGCATAGTATTCAGTTTCATTTATTCTTTCTCTTTACATTGTAGTCATGTATGTTGCTTTTTTGGGTTCTGCTCACTTTTCTCTACATTATTCCCATTAAGTTTTCTCATACTTCTCCAAATTCTTCATATTTCCTTATGCCAATATTTTTCCATTGTTTCCATGGACTTTTTTGTAATTTCTTTAGCTGTTCCCTAGTCAGTATATCCCTCCCTCTCATGTAATTCTTTGTTGATAATATGCTGCAGGTTAGTCACACTTGCCATGTACCTATCCACTTCCCTTTTATTGACCTGTAACTTTGTAGATTGTAGTATTCCATGACACAAAGCCATATAGTATCACTGTAAGAATATTGGTGAGCCGCAGTTTCAGGGAGAAGCTTCAGGTCATTAAAACATTGCACAACTTTTCAAATGCAGTGTAGCTTACTCCTCCCATCTGATTCTGGGCCCATGGCATTGTCCATCCTCAGCGTTTGTGTAAGACATATTCACTGGTAGACTAGCTCTATGCGCTGTTCCTCCAGGAGCCTATCATAATATGGAAAGTAGAATTTTTTTCCTTTTTATTTCCCATGTGGATGGTTAAGGCAAACTCTCTGAATGACTGTGTATCTCATTTAGGCTCTACAGAGTTCCAAGGTGGAATCAACAGAGTGTCATCTGAAAATAGTAACTCATAAAGGACTTCAATATCCGTAGGGAATCTCTCCTCCTTAAAAACCTTTTGTGCATAGCAGTGACAAACACTTTTAATGATACTACATATTCTTGTTTTAATTCCTTAATATTTATAATGCCTAGCTTGATATTACTGATATCTAGCTTGATGCTAATAGAGTCATTGTACAATGTTATTTCTGTTATATCTTTCAGTAAATTTCATATGATTTTAATATATGCGCCACCGATAACACGTTGGAGAATGTTAGAGACATTTTGTTCTACCAGTGAAACACTTTTTAAAAATTAAACAAACATATTATAAGACTTCTATATAATCTACAAGACTTTGGCCCCTGTCAGTGTCATCTTCATATTCACAATGAAGGATCAGAGTTGAACTTTATGGATTTCTTAAGATACATTGTAAGTTAAAAATAGACTCAGAGAAAGGATAGGATCGCTACTCAGAGTGGATGGGATAGTGATGTGTGGGACATGAAGACCCTTACCAATAAATTCTGGAGACTCAGATGTAGCAAAAAGAAAGGTTTCTTTATTAGCTTTCTCGAGAAAGTGCACCCTCCATCCACCTAAAATGGCTCTGGTGGAAGAGTGCAAGGGTGTGCTCAGCAAAGAAAGATTATATAGCCCCTAACCGCAACTCCTCCTCCCTAACCCCCTTCTTCTCAGCTCATTGGTGCAAGCCTTGAGGGCACAATCTGTTCGAGGCAATCTACCCCAGCAACAGAGTTACACAAGTTTGCCTGGAGACAAGAAAAGGCCAGAAGTCTTGCAGTTTAGGTTGGGGGTAGGGTATTCTATTCTTTCTGCTATGTGCTTAAAAACAGGGTCTGAGTGGGGGGGGGTTTGGAGAGTGTGTTTCAACAATACAATTAGAAGGCCATCTACAACAGGTGCCTCCAATTTCTCTCCTCCCACTCTCTTACTATCTGGCTTCTGACCTTATCTCTCTCTCCAAATGACCAGTGATCTCCTAATTGCTGCCCTTTGTGAGAACTGTTAACAAGAACTATTAACCCTTTGAGGAGGCTTCACAGCTGAGAGATCATCTCTCACAGTGATAACAGCCAAAAAAAAAAAAAAAAGGTACTTACTCAACTTTTAGGTTTGATTTTTTTTTTCTCTGCCAAGAGAGAACTAGAAAAAAAAAATCTTTGGATTGGAAAGGAAAAAACTTTTTAAAAAAATCCAGAAAGGCAGAGAAATAATTAGAGAGTTGGCTACCTTCCCTGAATGAATTCAGGTTAGTAGGCCCAGATGAACTTTATTTCTAGAGTATCAAAAGACCTGGCTAATGTGGTTTTTGAGCCACTATGGATGATCCTTAACAGACAGTAAAGAACATGCAAAGTACTGTAAGACTGAAGAAAGACAAATGTACTAATTCTCCAAAAGTGAAATGAATTTTTTTAGGGAAATAATTTTGAGTTTTCCTTCAGGACTGGATATCACTATCTGTTATATTACAGAGTTGATTCTTACTTGGGTATGGTTTGCACTGGATTCATTTCAGCAGAATATCTGTGTGTCTCCTGTATGGTGCTACTGAGGTTCTTTCCATCTCAGATTCTGTGATTCTGTTCAATCTGCCTTTAAACTCAGAGAATGGGAAAAAGTGTAGTCAGTGCTAGCACATAGAGCTCAAGAGATGAAGTTCTCAGGGAAAAACCAGGTTTCAGCTAATACAAGGAAATAGATTAAACATAGGCAAAAATACATGGGGGAGGGGAAAGGAAATATCCAGGATGGAAAGAGGCGTCAATGGCACCATATTGGAGTTTAATAGAGAATGAAAAAGACTGGTATAGAATATAGTTGGAGTGAATACAAATGAGAGTATGAGGAAAGATAACAGAGTAGGGATTTTATTCATGCATCTGTCTGCATGACTGTCATTAAATGAGTACAGCCTTAGCGAGTAAGTTGAATGAGTACTGTATGTTAGATATGGAGGAAGGATAGAAGTAACAGGTAGGTAGAGGCCATCGATAGAAAACTTACAGGAAGCCCCAAAGTTGTATTTTATAAACTAAACCAGATTTATGTTTTGCTAGAATGATAGTGACAGCCTCATTATTTAACTGATCTATGAATCTCAAGTTGGGTGTGGTCTGATTTTTCTATGAGAGGTTTACTGTTCCATGTTGCATGGCTTATATCATAGCCACTTAAACCACTTATTCATTTTGAAACTATCAGGAATATTCAAGTTAAAGCAAAACAAAACCCCAAATAGCTTTTCCTTATAGCTCCTTCTGATGGAGAGGAAGTTGCAAGAAGTCCATCCCCTTCTGACACTTTGTGGACAAATAGTTGAAAACTGGCAAGGGAACCCCATACAGAAGGAGTCCCTCCGAGTGTTCTTCTTGGTCCTCCAGGTGACGCACTACTTGGATGCTGGACAGGTGTGTAACTATTCTATATCTATATTTGTCAGGAAGAGACCCCTCTTGAAAATTATTGCTAACCAGTGTTGAAGTTCAAAGTCTAGACTTATGAACTGAAATAAGCAGTAATTCCAGTGAAGATTTAGCTTCAGTAATCTCTGCTTTTGATGCGTTACAATATTTAGACACACTGCACATGTGATTGTATTAAAATTGCATCCTGGAAACTGCTTCTTCAGCTAAACTAGAAATTGAGGTTGTGAGCTAAAAATGTAATCATTTAAAAATGAGGAAAATGTTTCATGAAGCAAAGCTCAGAGATCTGATTTAGGAACAGCAGTTGCAACTTACCCTGCTGAGTTTCAGCAGGTCTGTGAACAGTAAATCTGAAAGATTGCTCAGTCTTTAGACCTGGCTCATTGAGCAGCATGTCTTTGGAGCCTACAGATGGATTCAGACAGTAGCAAGGAAAGTACAACATGAAATTCTAACCCTTCATTTCTAAAGAGTTCCTACTTCTCACACCGTACCTCATGCCCAGAAGAATCCATCTTACCATCTGGTGCCTGAGCAAAATCGAAGAGGCAGGGTTTTAGCAGATGCTGCCTTTAAGGCAGGCAACAGTAACACTTCATATTTTGCCTGGCCATGGGCCCCATGTGGCAACTTGTCAAGAGCCCAAGTGCAGCATTTAATTTGCACAGAGTGCAACTGACTGCAGCTGCTCTCATTTTTCAAAGGGCATTGGGACCTGTAAGACTCCAAGTTCCAGCCTTGCAGGTTTCATCCTGATCTATAGAGCCTTCTGTTCAAATAAAGATAAAGAATTCCTTTTATGGCCTTGCCTTATTTGATCAATGTAAAGAAATGGCTTCTCTTTGTGAATTTTTGAGTAAAATAGGAGAATAAGCAGACTTATCATTCCCTGGAAAAGAGATGGAGCCAAAGACCTATCTTTTTAGGAGGAAGAAGCTCTGTCTGGCAAGAGGCTAGGAAAAAAAAAATAGATGGATGCTACAATTTTCCAGACCAAAAGTCCAGGCCCCCTTCCTGCTGAGGAATCCAGCTAAACCTACTTTAGACTAGGACACTTAGTTATAGATCTTGGGAACTCTACACAAGCAGGTAGGCAGGCAACAAACATTTATAAACATTTGCCATGTGCCAGACACTGTACTAAGAACTCGTGATATAAATACAAGCAAAAAGAAAGACAGTCCCTGCACTCAAGGAACTTACATTCTAATAGGGGAAGACGATACATAAAAGGGAGCTGAAAAGCTTAGGGGGGTGGGGTGCAGTACCCACATGGCTGTGTGGTGGCAAAGTCCAGAAAGTCAAAAGCATAGCCAAGAGGGGAACAAATCATGGCTAACCTCCGGATTCTGCTTTAATTACCTTAGACTATTTACTAACTTCAAACGTTTGTTTATGTTTGTTGATTTTGTCTCTTATATTTTAATCAGTTACTTGCTAACCATGGCCATGGCTTTTCAGCATGACCAAGTGAAAAGGAGAATGTGAATACTAGTTAACTATTTGGTACTTTTGAAAGAGGGTGGCAAGCCCTAAGGTTTCTGAGGCTGAAGGTAGGGATGGTCCCAGCTACTCGAATATATCAGATTTGTAGATAAGAAAGAATGCATAGAAGTCTCACAGATCAGATTCTGGGAACAAGATGCCATGATCCATTCTAGTCTTTGTATCCATTGTGCCTGAATCTGGGCTTAGATTTCATGAGTGATCTCCATTGTATTCATCCCAACACAGTGAACTGGTATTTGATGTGAATTAACTTCCTGTAGGTGAAAAGTGTGAAGCCATGTCTAAAGCAGCTTCAACAGTGTATTCAAACTATTTCCACTCTTCATGATGATGAAATTCTACCCAGCAATCCTGCTGACCTCTTTCATTGGCTGCCCAAAGAGCACATGTGTGTATTGGTCTACCTGGTGAGTAGCTCACTCTTTCTACTATTACCACAGCATAAAGTTTTTCGTTGTGTTCTGGCCAAATGCATATAGCTCTTCCCACTGAAAACTCAGCCCAGCATTCAGACACATTAGTATGCAAGGCATTTTCATGTCCGTAAAGTTATCATATTCACTAGATTTGGGAGAGGAAACAAGGAGATCAATGCATTTGAGTTACAGGGCAAGAATTAGGCATATAGGTATTTCTCATCTGATAATTGAGGTCATTATAACAATGGGAAGGACTGTGTATTCCATTGGAACATAAGAGTGAAGTGATAGTGTCTTTCTAAGATGATGGGTTCTAAGTTGTGGTATATGAATGTAATGGAATACTGTTGTGCTATAAGAAATGATGAGCAGCTAAATCACTATTGATTAGAGAAATGCAAATTAAAACAACTCTGAGGTACCACATCACACCTATCAGATTGGTTAACATGACAAAATAGGAAAATGATCAATGTTGGAGAAGATGTGGGAAAATTGGAACACTAATGCATTGTTGGTGGAGTTGTCAGCTGATCCAACTGCTCTGGAAAACAATTTGGAATTGTGCCCCAAGCGCTATAAAACTGCGTGTATTTTTTGATCCAGCGATACCACTACTAGGTTTATATCCCAAAGAGATCATTAAAAAAAGGGAAAAGGACCCACATGTAAAAATATAACAGCTCTTTTTGTGGTGGCAAAGAATTGGAAATTGAGGGGATGCCTATCAGGCAGTGGTTGAACAAATTGTGTATTTGAATGTAATGGAATACTGTTGTTTCATAAAAAATGATAACCAGGCGGATTTCAGAAAAACCTGGAAAGACTTGCATGAACTGATGCTGAGCGAAGTGAATAGAACCAGGAGAACATTGTACACGGTAACAGCAACATTGTGGGATGACTGACTTCAGACTTAGCTCTTCTCAGCAATACAATGATCTAAGACAATTCCAAAAGACTCATTATGGAAAATGCTATCCACATCCAGAGAAAGAACTATGCAGTCTGAATGTAGATCGAAGCATACTGTTTTCTCTTTCTTATTTTATTTTTGTTTTTTCTTTCTCGTGGTTTTTCCTTTTTGCTCTGATTCTTCCTTCACAACATGACTAATGTGGAAATATGTTTAATATGATTGTCTTTGTATTACATGATGTCTTGGGGAGGGGGAAAAATTTAGAACTCAAAA